CGGCCTAGCGTGCGTTCATTGTTTACTATTTATTCATTGTGTATTAAGTATAGTACCTAGTAATGTCATCACAAACTCAGAAGCGAAAGCACAAAACTTTGACAATTAAAGTAAAAATGTGATATTTTAGACCGCTTAAATCGCAATGAAACTTTCAGTAGTTTAGCAAGTGAATACGGCGTAGGCCGATCTACAATTTATGACATTAACGGCGCTCTCACAGTCAAGCAGAGTTTCTGAGGGGAATCGGGGGGGTGGTAGAGAAACGCTAGTAGGACGGCGTTGTGACAAGGCAAGCGCTCTACGTTAGAAAAGGATAGTAATACGCAGAGGTGTGCTGTTCGCGTGCCTGGTTGAATTTGCATATTGCACAGAGTCGGATTTGATTTGGATATACGATCTAGCGTACGACTGTTTCCCTATTTTGGCGCATAGTATACTCAGCCCTTATTACTTTTATTACCGTTATTGTATTGTTGTATTATCGTGTTGTTATTGTTGTGTTGTTATTGTTGTGCTGTTATTGTTGAGTGTCTTTCTTATCAAGGTATCAAAAATGAACAATAAGAGAAATAAACGTGGCGTCTCGAAGAAGCCGCATTTAAATACGCACAGGAAAAAAAAACGTTTTCCAGATAGAAAAGTAGGTACCAAAACAATTATGAATTTTAGCATTCATTTTGCCAATAAATTAGACTATACGTAGTTACTATTATAACTATATTTTATATGTTATTTTAGCTTAAAAATGACAGCAAGGTTTCGCATATGCATTCTCTAACAGAGACAGATGGCATGGATCTTCAAATTCAGGTGTGTATACCCTTTTTTTTTTAGATTTGCACCAGAGGCTGATATCATTTCTGGCAATTCTGATTAAAAATGCAGTAAGTTTACTTCATGACGTCGATAATAGTATTGTAGAGCAGTTTAACTCAATCATAGCTAAATTCATTGGGGGTAAACGGATTAATTATTGCAAGAAGAGATCCTACCAAGGAAGATGTGCTGCAGCCGTAGTGAGCCACAATACACAGCGACCTGTTTGTGTGATCCAAAAGCGGCTACTCCCTAGTTTCAGTCCAACCTCTTTGATTGCTAAAGTTGAAGAAAGGAGAGCGCACAAAAATCTGAAAAGGAAGCTGAAACCAAGGAAAATTAAAATCAGAGAACGCATCCTATGGGGAATTCTGTGAGAAGCCTGACATGAGCAACGAAGATATAGAGGCTGCCAAGGTAGAATTCTTGAAAAAACTTGCAAAAACCGACTCCAAAATTTCCCAGATCGAGCAAGCCACAAAATCTCAGGATTGCAATTTGTGGCGTCTTCGTCGAAGAATGAGGTTGACTGCGTCTCGGTTTGGTGAGGTTTGTAGAAGAAGAGATACAACAAGTTGCAGAGCTCTAGTAAACGCCATAATATACCCAACCGAATTCTTTAGCAATGCATGTGACTATGGAAAAAAGCATGAAAGCGTGGCAAAATCAGAAATAGAGAAATCATATTCGCAATCAGAAGTACAATCTTGCGGGTTGTTTATTGATAGGACCCATCCATTTCTGGCAGCATCGCCAGATGGTTTGATAGGCGTAAAAGGTCTGCTAGAAACTAAATGTCCATGGTCGGCTAGAGAAATGACCCCTGAAGAGGGCATTCTGAACAAAAAAATTACGTTTTGGATAAACGATGAAATAAATAAAAAACATAAGTGGTATTACCAAATTCAAGGGCAGCTACACGTTGCACAAAGAGAGTACTGTGTGCTTGGTGTTTGGACCCCGTATGGTTTGAAAATAGACGTCATTCGAAAGGATGACGTTTTCGGGAAAAATGAAATGGAAGAGAAATTGAAATTCTTCTACATGAACTGCTTGCTCCCAGAACTGGTCGATCCCAGAAAAAGCAGAAATATGCCAATCCGCGATCCCGATGTGATCTTGAAGGCACAAGAGAACCGTTTGAACAAGAAAAAGAGTTCTTGAGAATTGGCTATTTTTGCTGTACTCGGGTACCAAAATGGAAGAGATTAGCATATTACATTGTACTCCGTTACTAACCCCTTCGTGTCGGCAAATGCGGTGTGCAGATCTCGCTTTAGCAGCGATGTGCGAGATGTTATGCTAATCTCTTCCATTTTGGTACTAGTACCAGATTTTCACTATTTATTGTATATTATGTATATATTGTTTATTTAAATAAAAGTCAATCGTCAGGCTCAATAGCACGTAGCATCAGCTAGCTTTATCTAGTCTGTTAGATGGCGAATATTGAAATGTCACATTGACACGTTAAGCGCCACAGTAGAATCTGAAAATCCAGTCCACTGGGCCAAACTGTTATTATTGTCAAATTAGCTTGTTTTAAGTTTCGGTTTAATATTTTGACTTGACTTTTTTCTCAAATCCTATGATTTTTCCCCTTTTTTGATTTTTTTTTTCTGAGGTACTAATTGTATGTCGCGTGGCCCACAGACCAGTCGGGTCGCGTGGCACATAAGTCGCGTCGCGTTTTTTGCAAGTCAAGTCTTGCATCATGTCGCGCGTTGAGCACTGTTTCGTGTCATTTATTATTGAAGCGTTGTTGGTATTGTACGTCATCTTGTCCAAATTGCTTTACTGTTTATAAATTATTGAATTCCAAATTTGTGATGTCGCATTACGAAGCGGAGCAAAAAAGGCTTGAACAATTGTATAATGAAATACTATCGGATGAAGAGAGTGGCAGTACTGAGTTATGTGGGGATGTATACTTATCTGATGCGTATTCTCCAAGTGGTAGTGAATCAGATAGTAGTTGTAGTAATTCCATATTTATCTGTATTACTGTTTATTCATACCGGTATTTTGTTTATTCCTGCCTAAGACTTTGTCAATCTGTTTAGTTTATAAGAGTTCCTCCATATTTGTGTTCGTTAGAATATCGACATTTACCATAACTTACTGATTTGCTGTGAAATTACTTTGTTTATTTTTGAATGAGAATGTCTGATTATTTTATAAGATTTGCTTTTTGTTTTAGATTTGTAGAATATCCTCTTTTTGTAAAACTCTATAAACAACGTGTTTTTTAATGTTTTCATTTCCAATTCAGTATAATTTGGTCCCTCAGGCCACGGACTCTTGGTTCCCGTAAGAAAATCACATCAGCATGGCACACGTCTTACGTTACGCGGCCAAATATAACTGCCAGCAGTGAGACATATCATGTGTGTCACGAGGCCCAAAGCGCCAAATGAGCTGCGACACACGCATTATATCTCATGACGTGTTAAGTTTATTTTACGATACTCCATAAGGTTAAAGCTAAACAGCAAGTGACATTTTATTTGTGGTAAATGCGTTCACTATAATTATTATTTTTAACTAAAAAGATTACCGCCTCCAATGACCCTGGAACCACCTGGAAACTTTTGGTCACAAAGTTCTGTATTTTACCACACATGTCAAGTCTTTTCATTTGATATGTATATTGGGGGTTTTGTACAAAAATATGTAACTCGCAATTTCGAAACGGCGGCAATCTTGGAATCAAATTTTTAGTGAAGTACTGTATTCTACAAGGCGACGACTCTTATTTGAGATATTAGCAAGTATGTTATCCGCCATTTTGTAACGGCCGCCATCTTGATTTGAAACTGTTTTCGTATTACTGTTTTGTACAAGTGCTTCCATTTGATATCCATATTGGGATGATTGAACAAAAATGATTTTTTGTGGTATCACCTCTGAAGCATGGCCTATTGTATAAAAAGAAATGATCAAAATCGATTAAAATTTTCCCCTCTTTCATTGAAGTCTATTAAAAATATCACTTAATGGTCCGATGTTTATCTCGAACGACCGACGTTAAAACTGCTACTGTTTAACTTGGGACAACAAATTATCTGAATACGTCCTTTCTTAGTCCGTACACACCGCCGCGTTGCTTCGACTGGCAGCACGAGATAGTGGATAAAATTCGTGTAAAAGCCTATTTGCAGAGGTTTTTGGCGCTTCAAAATTGACGCTTCATTTTTGAATATTTTTCAATGAAATTTTCACAGTGCACTAAAAACAAGACTCCACAGGGTGCTATAGAGCCACTTTTTCGTTTTTTCCTCTGGGTTGTTTTTAAAAAAATCGAGAAGTCGAACAACAATTATCTGCACTTCCACCCACCATAACTCCTGAAAAAAATTTTTTTTTAGAAAAGTGGCTCTATAGCACCCTGGACAATTGTCTTCTTAACATACTGTATAAATTTTATTCAAATATATAGAAAAATGGAGCGTCAATTCCGAAGCAGCTAAACCCTTGTAAATGGCCTGAAACTCACTGCGTCGGAGCCGCCTTAACCCCTTCGCCCCGGCCAGTATATTCAGCAAGCGCGCTGTCATCCGGCCGCATCGTCAGCGCTGCGCCTGGCGACGCGATGCGACGTTTCAAGATACATGCATATTACCTTGGATTGCGCGTGCTTCTCTCTGTGTGGAAAGAGAGTAAATACAACGTGGCCGGTTTATTCACTCTACTGTGTGTCGGGCTTATTAGTTTCAAGTCTATGCAAGTTGGGCTTGTTTTCTATGTTGTCTCTGAGCTTTGTTATATTATTAGTATTGAAATAAAGTTTCGATATGTCGAGTGATAGCAGTGACTTAGATTATGATCCCGTAAATGACAGTGCATCTGACGAAGAAGATGAATTTTCATATAATTGAAGAGAAAGTGACGTGGAAGACGAATGCGTCACTTTTGAAGGCTGGATTATCGTGCCACATCCTGAGGATGATAAACGGCTAACCGATGTGGTACAACCGACCCTCCACTATGATGTACATCCAGCTGTAGTCCTGGAAGAAGTGATGTCTCCAATGAAATGTTTCGAAACATTTGTTAGTGAGACAATTGTAACATTTTTATGCAAATGCACTAATGAACGTGCGGCAAAATATTTCCTTGAAAATATTGACAAAAATATGAAAGTACACGGATTACGTTGGCGTGTTGTGACAGTTAGTGAAATGTACGTATTCATTGCTCTGGTACTTATGCAAGGCCTGATCCATTTACCACACCTTAGTGATTACTGGAGAAAAGACTTTCTTTTGGCTGGACCCCAAGTTTTTTCCGCCACCATAATGAGTAGGGATAGATTTCTATCTATCATGAAATTTTTACGCTTTTCTGACCCTAAAGCCACCGACCCATCTAGACCCATGACCCGTTTGGCAATGTTCTTCGCTTTTATAAAGGAAAATACGATGATTGCGATTGATCCAGGCGAAACTTTTGCACTTGATGAATGCCTTATGTTGTACAAGGGCAGACTACATTTCAAACAGTATATCAAATCCAAAAGATCTAGATTTGGAATCAAACTGTTTGCTCTGTGCCCTAGAGATCCCAAATTTAGAGGCTATACCTACAGTTTTGCATTGTACATCGGTAGAGACATATATAACGTTGCACACATTCCAGGAACTGATGCGCTTTCGATGTCTGAAAGAGTGGTTGTGTATATGCAGTCAAACTTACTTGATGAAGGCCGTGAAGTGATCTTGGATAATTGGTACGTGTCAGTTAGGTTAGTTGAGTTCTTGTTGACACGAAATACTTACGTGACAGGTAAAATTAGAACCAACAGGGGAGTACCGTCTGAGTTCACACAACTTCAGTTGAAAAAAGGACAGTCGTGTTTTATTAGAAAGGGAGATGTACTGATTGTGCGTTATAAAGACAAAAAGGACGTTTATGTGATCACATCGAAACTGACCGCTGATTTCGTTCAGAAAGACCAGTATTCCGTTGTCGATAAACGCGTTGTAGTATTACAAAAGCCAAGTCATGTGGATCACTATAATTCAAATATGGGTGCCGTTGATGCAACGGATCAGGACATGGAACCATACAATGCAGCACGGAAGAGCTACGCCTGGTTCAAGAAAGTTGGGATCCACGTGTTACAGAGGATGGTACTGAATGCCAAAGTCCTCTACTCGGTTACAAACAAACGAAAAGTAGATATGAAAGACTTCACATTACAGTTATGTGATGAAATTCTTGCCAAACATCTTTCAGACTATACAGCAATGCGTGATCAACACAAAAACGCGAAAAGGCAAAAACTTAGTGAACCATCAACATCAAGGTTGGCAGGACATGAGCTCGTTCGACACGAGACGCAGATGCTGGGTATGCTACAACATTGAGAAGAAGCGCTCTATTTTCACGTATAAGTGTTGTATTGGATGTAGAAACCGCATACCATGTGTTCCTTAGACCACTTTACATACTATCATGATAACCTATGAATATGTTATAAATCATGTAATAAAGTGTTCTTGTAAAGTTGTTTCATCATTTTTCACCGTTTTTGTCTTTTACCATTTCTTTTAAATAATATCCTTATGGTGATTCGTTTTTTTTGCGAACAAAGCAAGGGAAAATATAGGTAAACTTCATCGAATGTTTGTAATTTTTCTACTATACGGCACTGAGAAATTGAGGTATATGCATGTATCCGGTCAAATACCGTAGTCGTATAAAATTTTATGGCGGCCAAATGAAAATGATGCACATGATGCATCACCGGATTAAAACGCGAACTAGTATATACAGAAATGATGCAAGTGATGCATCACCGGGCTCAAGGGGTTAAAAGAAACCACTAGAAGATCAAGAAGTTCGTGTCAACTATTGACTGCGGGCCAGGCAAAAGACAGACACTTAAGAAAGCAGAACATCCAGAAGTAAGTGGATGAAGCTTTGTACATGTGGTTTCTTCAGAAAAGAAATAGGCATGCACCAATTTCAGGAGCCATGTTGGCCATGAAAGCTAAGTTTTTTTATAAGGAAATAACAAAAAAGATGATTTTGTGGCCAGCAAAGTATGGCTAGAACGTTTTAAAAGTCGTCATGGCATACGTTTAATGACTATTACAGGAGAGAAACTTTCTAACGATGCCACCTGCATAGAGCCCTATAAATTAAGATTTTTGCAAAAAGTGAACCATTTAAATCTTGACCCGTCACAGGTGTACAATGCAGACGAATCAGGGCTTTTTTGGCGTGTGATGCCTAAGAAAACTTTCGTTTCTTGTAACGAAAAATCCGTACCTGGACGAAAAGTAACTAAAGAGCGTGTAACCATACTACCATGTGCTAACGCTGCGGGCACACACGCGCTTAAGATGATGGTCATTGGGAAATCTAATAAACCACGGGCATTCAAAAACATTGATTTACCTGTACACTATTACGGACAAAAAAGTGCATGAATGACAAAAGACCTTTTCAAAAAGTGGTTTGATGAATGCTTCGTACCTGAAGTTAGAAAATGGTTAAAAGATCATAATTTTCCTCAAAAAGCGTTGTTGCTTCTTGATAACGCTCCCGGTGATCCGTCTGAAGAAGAACTAAAAACTGATGATCAATGCATCACTGCGATGTTTCTTCCGGAAAATTGCACTGCACTGATTCAACCAATAGACCAAAATATCATTCAGTTTGTCAAGCAAGACTATAAGAAAAACCTACTTCTGAGTGCCGTATCAAAAGAACAACCAATAGAAAAAACTTTAAAAAAATTTAATATGCAAGACTTGGTTTTTGCTCTTTGTCAGTCGTGGAATGCGTTACTGTCATCAACTATTAAATCGTCTTGGAAAAAGTTATGTCCAGATATAGTCACCACTCCTAGCAACGTTCCACAAATCAGTGTTACTTCCGAAGTTATAGAACAAGTCGCTACTGAAACCCAGATAAGTCCGGAAGATTTGGAAATCTGGTGCCGTGGAATGTGGATAAAGAGGAAAATGTTTTTCGTGAAATGTCTGACGAAGAGATGATAAAAGAGGTTTCTAATTATACAACAAGCAATCAGGAAAATAACGACGACGTGATTGCAACTGATCCACAAGTCACAGCGCAAGACGCAATTAACGCCTTTGAGCTAGGTTTACAATGGGCTGAAGAGAATGGTACATCCTAAAACGAACTTTTACTTTTGAGAAGACTGAGAGACAAAGCTCTGATCTCGCGTTATAACAACCTTAAACAAACAAAAAAATGATGAATATTTCCAAGCTTCATAATTTGATAAATTTATTAATGATTTTGATTAATAATTCTTGATTATTTTGGTACCTATATATGTGCATTTATGCTTAATTTTATAATACAACATAAGCTCTCTATTGCTATTTAATTTACATACATAAACTATGTATGATTTGTACTGCAAAGTACATACATAAATATAACATATATATGTAATCTTACCATTGGATATGTAATTTGTCGGATTACAAGGTACTCTTTTGTGAAAAATTCCGGACTATAGGGGGTCTTAGGCAGTGCTCTATAATCCGACAAATTCGATAGTCCGACACTACCCTGCATAATGTTTGTCGGATTACCGGAGGTCCACTGTATGTAGATCTTCCAACAAGTCGGGGTGACACAGGGCCCCAGAACCCATCAAATGAACCCCTATATGTATGGTCCGAAATTTTATAGTTCAGGAGATATTTGCAATTCTCTGAAGTTTATAAAAAATCGGGATAATGAACTTTCAATCGCAGTTACTAACTAAACTATTAGGTTTAGGGCGGTGTTTTTTTCAAATGAGCTAAATGGTCAGCTTTACCAATGATTATGTCACTTTTCAACAGAGATAATTAGAAGTTAACACAAAAAAAATTTAAATTCATTGTTTTTGAGAACACATGCGCTTAAGATGATGGTCATTGGGAAATCTAATAAACCACGGGCATTCACAAACATTGATTTACCTGTACACTATTACGGACAAAAAAGTGCATGGATGACAAAAAACCTTTTCAAAAAGTGGTTTGATGAATGCTTCGTACCTGAAGTTAGAAAATGGTTAAAAGATCATAATTTTAGTCAAAAAGCGTTGTTGCTTCTTGATAACGCTCCCGGTCATCCGTCTGAAGAAGAACTAACAACTGAGGCTAAATGCATCAAAAGACCAACCAATAGAAAAAACTTTAAAAGAATTTAATATGAAAGACTTGGTTTTTGCTCTTTGTCAGTAGTGGAATGCGTTACCGTCATCAACTATTAAATCGTCTTGGAAAAAGTTATCGCCAGATATAGTCACCACTCCTAGCAACGTTCCACAAATCAGTTTTACTTCGGAAGTTATAGAATAAGTCGCTACTCAAACACAGATAAGTCCGGAAGATTTGGAAATCTGGTGCCGTGGAATGGATAAAGAGGAAAATGTTTTTCATGAAATGTCTGACGAAGAGATTATAAAAGAGGTTTCTAATTATACAACAAACAATGAGGAAAACGTGATTGCAACTGATCCATAAGTCACAGCGCAAGACGCAGTTAACGCCTTTGAGCTAGGTTTACAATGAGCTGAAGAGAATGGTACATCCTAATACGAACTTTTACTTTTGAGAAGACTGAGGGACAAAGCTCTGATCTCGCGTTATAACAACCTTAAACAATAAAAAATGGATGAATATTTCCGAGCTTCATAATTTGATAAATTCATTAATGATTTTGATTAATAATTGTTGATTATTTTGGTACATATGTATGTGCATTTATGCTTCATTTCATAATAAAACGTAAGCTCTCTATTGTTATTTAATTTACTAAATTCGACATACATAAACTACGTAATGTATGATTTGTACTTCAAAGTACATACATATATAATCTTACCATTTGATATGTAATTTGTCGGACTACAAGGTACTCTTTTGTAAAAAATTCTGGACTATACGGGTCTCTCTCTATAATCCGACAAATTCGATAGTCCGACACTGCCCGGCATAATGTTTGTCGGATTACCGGAGGCCCACTGTACTCGTAAACTGAAAGCTCAATTTAGCCATAGAATTGACTAATGCCGTTTCCCCCCGTACCCTTTAAATATCAAGTGATTATCAAAATAGACACCTAGATCTCTAATGCAATCAGCTCTTTCTTTTGCTGAATTATCAAGAGTTTACCGATAAGATATAGGCTTGGACTTTCAACTGGTTGGAACACCTGGTGAAAGTCTCATCTGGCAGATTGTTCTCTACTAACATGATCAGTAGACCATATCGGCTTGTTTGATTTCCAGCTGTCTGTTCAAGACTAGACCTATTCCGTACTGGCGACTGCTAAAAAGGATAAAACAATGTTGTATGGGATTAACATGAGCTATGGCTACAGAGATAGGAGTCAAATAGATAAGTATTTAGCCCTGGTTGTAAGGTTTTGACATTCAACCTTTTTTGTCGATATCTGTTAATTCGTAGGATTCTAAGACAGGTTCATTAAGTTATTAAACAACAGACTAGTGAGAGGTCCAACCAACAGAATACAAAGCTAAGTTAGTAACGTTCTGAAAATATTTGAAATCCGTGGTGAAGTTAATTCCGTATAGAAACTTTCTAGAGCACTGTAGCCTCAGCATGAAAAATATCATATTATTTGTATAGAGAACTCCTAAGGTCACCAATTTTATGCATTTGCAGCAAGATAATAATTTACTTTTGAATTCTCCTGGCTGGTGGACACCGCCCTAATAGCTGGTAAATTATCCGTGTGAGTCATACTGATTTATTCTTATTATAATGACTAAATATTCTATATTTCGCATTCCATCAAATATGAATTTCTTAAGAATGCAGCATATTGACGTCGACCTCACCGGGGGGATATCCTTAAATGCAATGTACCAGAATATCCTTTTTCAGAACATATTGTAATAGACTGCACATTCCGACTTATGAGTTATGACTTACAGGTTTCCTGCTATTTAGAAGGTTCTTATTAACCGGTATACATTTTAAAAATTCTGTTCCGTCATTGGTATACGATCAGAGAATATATTCATTTCATTTCATTTCTTTATTGGTGCTTAATGCACTTAATTACACAGATCAATGTGGAAGTTAAATTACAAAATTGTAAATTCGAAAAACAACAAAATTTGTTGGGAAGAACAACATTAACAGAAAACTGTAAAATGATCTTGTGAATTCAAATTGAATACAAAACTCCAGAACAAGCACATCCGAACAAATTAACAAACAGAGCAAAAGTATACAAACACACTATAACAACATTATAACAGATCCGAAAGGTTACCTAATCATTATTCGATGGTATAAAAAGCTTTATTGGCAAGCTTTAAGGCGGCTCCGACGCAGTGAGTTTCAAGCCATTTACAAGGGCT